CCTTTCCTGAACCTTTCCCACTCTTTACTGTCGTGGTAAATGTGGCCCAGGACAGCAGTGAACCATTAAATTGTTACTTTACTTTACTTTAGCATTACGTGTTCATCGTTACTGCCCAGCCCTATGAGAGAGTGAACGCGCTGCGTGCGCTCTGACAGCCTGTAGGCGCATGGGGAGCCCCCAAGTCACCCGCGGGCGTCATTCTTCTTCCTCTTTTCTGCGATGGATGGGCTCTATGCCTGCGTGCTGCGCTCGATCCCCGGCTTCAGGTTACCCGATGCCCGGCCGGGCCCGCGGGGCCCAGCGAGCTCCTGGGGTGTGCCCGGCTATTGGACCATAGGTCGCTTCCGGCTGTGGCGCGTGCTTGCCATCCAAGGCGAGGCCTCAGGGCACATCCCAGGGCGTGAGCATCAGCTGCTGGCACGCGCCTTGCTGCCTGGTGGAACGTTGCAATGTTCCAGCAGCACGACATGGCCCGCCGACACCTCCACTCACCACCCCGCCCCGCCGCCACCCCACCGCAGACGACCGTCTGGTCTACGCGCGACGAGCTGCTGCTGGCCTTCCAGGCGGATGTGCCAGGCCGACGGCCACTTTGCGCGCCTGCCCTGGCTGCTGCCGTTCATCGAGTGGCACCTGCTAGAGGCCGCAGTGGCCACCGGCGCGCCCAGCGCCGCCGACCTGCTGGCGTAAGGTGGGAGGCGCGCGCCACCTGCCGCCCAGCCACTCCTGAAACAGCCACCCACCCGCGCTTCCGCCCTCCCGCCTGCAGGTGCTGAGCTGCCGGCTGGGCAACCCCGCTGGTCAGAGCCCCAAGGGCGCGTCGCCGGTGCGGTGCCTTTGCTTGAGCTTGCCTGAGCAAGCCCCCTGTTGCCCCCACCCCACCCCACCCCACCCCCCACCCACCCCCGCCGCAGGCGCTGCTGCACCTGCGCGAAGACCTTGCACCCCCGCCTCCCACCAACGTGGGGCGCGCGCCCCACCACGGCCCCGGCCTGCTGCTGCTGCTGGCTCAGCCCACGGAGGAGGCACAGCCAGCCACCCAGCAGCAGGAGCAGGAGCAGCAGCAGCAGGCCGACCTCGCTGGCCGCCCGCCTGTCGCGCCACATCACGCGCGAGAAGATCTGGCGGCAGTGGGTGGGCATGTACGCGCTGACGGCCCCAGGCAGCCTGGTGCACGTGTGGGGCCCGCTGTGGGAGGACTTGCTGGCCTTCATCACGAGCGAGCTGTACGGCCCCACAGCCACCTTCCCCGGCAGCGTCACGGTGGCCCAGGCGCAGCAACTGCTGCAGCGGCTGGCTGGGCTGGACGTGCAGACGGGGGAGCATCTGGAGATGGCAGTGGAGGCGCTGCCACCAGCGCCTGGCGTGGGGCGCCCACCGCCGGGTGCTGCAGCTGGACGGCATGCCCGGCGTGCCGCGGCGGGTGCAGTTTGAGGTGCCTAGCCCGGAGCAGCTGGCGGCGCTGGCGCTTGGCGAGCTGAGCCTGGAGCTGGGCCCACTCGGTCTTCCTCCTCACCCCAGACGGCCGCTTCAACGACATCGAGGCGGTGCTGCCCATCCCCCGGTGAGTGGTGCGGGCGGCTGCGCGCTGGCAGGAAGGCGCGGGGCGGTGCTCGGCCTTGTGTCCGTGCTGGCACCTGCCTTCTAACCGCTGGCGGGAGGACAATTGGGCTAGGCACCCTCAGCCAGCAGTTCTACGCGCAGCACCACATCGCCCCCGCCGAGCGGTTCTGCCGCACCTGCGAGCGCTGCCGCGCCTGCGCGCCTGCGCTGGTGGCGGCGCTGGAGGCTGACGCCGCGGCCTACATGGCTTGCATGATCTGCCGCCGCTGTGGTGAGCCGTGGCTGGTGGCTGCCTGTTGGCAATGTGTGTGTGTGTGTGTGTGCGTGTGTGTAAATCAATAGCAGACCATGCATCTCCTGCCAACCGCGCCTCGCCTATCTCACCCCCTCTCCGCAGCGTACGGGCTGCCCAAGGCTGCCATCGCCGCTAACGGCTCCCCGGGACGCGCCATCGTGGACGACGCGGCCGGCGCCTACCCACACCTCTACGCCACGCCCGCCGCCACCTGCCGCCGCTTCACAGGCGGCGGCGGCGTGACTGAGCCCGCCGCAGAGGAGCAGCTGGCCGAGGAGCAGGCGAGCGAGGACACCGCCCTGGCAGAGCTGGCGGCAGAGCTGGAGGCGGAGGATGCCGAGGAGGAGGCAGCAGTAGCGGCTGCAGCGGCAGCGGCGGCATGGATGGATGTGAAGGAGGCGGCAACGGTGGTAGAGCTGGTGTAGCTGTGTGCGGGTTCGCCGCCGCAGCAGCAGCAGCAGGTGCAGCAGCAGGTGCAGCTGGCAGAGGTGGTGGATGCGGGCGCCACCACGCTGTCCCTCTTCCTGGAGCTGCGCTGCGCTTGCCCGCGCACCCACCCGCTGCACCGCCTGTCCCTCACCCGGCTGACGCAGCGCGCCTTCTACCGCCTCTGGCGCCGCTGGTCCCTGCTCACAGCCACCCATTGTGCAGCGCGTGGCGCAGCTGATTGCCGAGGCAGCCCTCCGGGTGGTGGCGGGCGAGGGTGCGGCCAGCCAGCCGCGGCGGCAGCTGCTTGGCTAGGTGCGAGGTGC